GAGTTCCAGAGGATGGGAGATAGTCTGGAGAAGTCCTGGAGGCAAAAATGGGAGGAGGTCACTTCTTGTCATAAACTTTATTAATATCAAACAACTTTTAGCACAGACAATATTTAAATTTGGCAAACTTCTAAAAATATATATGCATGCAAAGTGTCAGAAATTGGGCAGTGTAACAATCCTTTCCCTGCACATATATAACCAGATGAAAAATGAGGCCAGAAATCCATTTGCGAGAAAGAGTACTTTCATGGCATATTTCATTCTAAATCATATTTGTAAATACTTTATAAAGAGAACCATTTGTTGATCTGCTGCTCTAAGATCATGATTTTCTAGTCTCATTATGATGCAGTAGGAAGTAGAGCTTTCAGGGTGGGATGAATGAACAGGAAGTGATGTAGAGCACTTCTTCATTCATAATTAGGGACACAGTAACCGTATTATGTCCTCAATTATTGACAAACACTCGACGATCAGCTGATCGCTGACTGCTTGTACTCCGCTTTCCAGCCTGACTCGCTGTCACAGGAGGCAGAGTCGGAGGTGCAGGGAGGAGAGCTCAGCCACCTGTGACACGGCTGACAGCTGACTCCTCCCCGCACTGCCGACACGGCCTGTGACAGCTGACAACTGTCTCCTGCGCCACACCGCTCTCCATCCTGTGGGAGCAGAGCTCGCCCTCCTGTGACATGTTCAAAGTGCTCACCTCCCCGCCCCGCTCGAACTCCTGAATGTTTCTCTCCACCCAGCTGGACGCTGCTCTGTGTCAGAGGGGATACAGAGTAGCGCACAGAGGGGAGGAAAGAAAGCAGGGATGCACCGCAATATCGGCCGAAAAATTAAACTTTCAGCATTTTGTATGTTTCGGTGGCTGAAATTTCTGTGCATCCCTAATTATTATTATTAAAATACTGGATTTATATAGTGCCATCAGTTTGTGCAGCGCTTTACAAAATGGAGGGAGACAGTATAGATACAATACAATTTCAATACAGGAGGGTTAGGAGGGCCGTGCTCGTGAGAGCTTACAATCTAGTAGGAGGGGCAAGTGATACAAACGGTAATAATTGTATGGGATGAGTTAATGGAAGAGATAAAATGACAGTCATTATGTTGAGGTGGGATAGGCGTCCCTGAAGAGATGAGTTTTTCAAGGATTTCCTTAAGGTGGGCAGAGTAGGAGATAAGCGGACAGATTGGGGTATGGAGTTCCAGAGGATGGGAGATAGTCTGGAGAAGTCCTGGAGGCAAAAATGGGAGGAGGTCACTTCTTGTCATAAACTTTATTAATATCAAACAACTTTTAGCACAGACAATATTTAAATTTGGCAAACTTCTAAAAATATATATGCATGCAAAGTGTCAGAAATTGGGCAGTGTAACAATCCTTTCCCTGCACATATATAACCAGATGAAAAATGAGGCCAGAAATCCATTTGCGAGAAAGAGTACTTTCATGGCATATTTCATTCTAAATCATATTTGTAAATACTTTATAAAGAGAACCATTTGTTGATCTGCTGCTCTAAGATCATGATTTTCTAGTCTCATTATGATGCAGTAGGAAGTAGAGCTTTCAGGGTGGGAGGCAGCGGCGTATTTACACTTTGTGCTGCCCCAGGCAAGACAGCCCCCTGCCGCCCCCACGGACTGACGTTCCTCGGACCTCATGAGCAGCGCCCCCAAAGCCCCCCCCACCCCCC